AAACACCTGTATAATTATCATGTAAAACAATAATCCATCATTGAGTGTGATTTTTGTCAAAAATCATTAAACATTGATTTGTGATAAAAAATTATTAATTCTAAAAAATTTTTTTCTACAAAAAATTATAAAAATCTGATTTTATTGATAAAAAAAATTAATTAATTTAAATTAAGTTTTTCACAAATAAAAACTTACTCAAGTAATAAATGAGCAAAAAATTATGCCAGAACTGAATCACCATTTTGTTTTGTGTGATCCATTTCTATGTCTAATTCGGAACGGCATCAATTCTGACTTGGATATTTTCTGAGTCACTCCTTCGCCATCGCTGACTAGACATAAATCTAAATTTTTACATACACTGTCATGCCCTTGCAGAGTTGAGAAAAGAGATCTGTTCTAAAGCTCAAGAGAGAACGTCTCCAACTGTCAAATCGGTTTTCGCTTGAAACTATTGTCATTCAATTATTCTTGGTGAGTAGTGAAAAAGTCTGTTTTGGTTTGGTTTTCCAGTTTTCTATTGTGGACTTATGAGCATTTTACTCAATTTTTGGGCTATGAACATAGGATCTCTGAGAACCTGAATGATCGAGTTTTGAGCTGAAATTTCGTCCAAATATAGGTTTTATAGTCACTAGAAATATTCCAAAGTTTGAGCCAGAACGAACGCACTCTAACCGAGATATTCACATTTTAAAGAAACACCTGTTTTGGGCTGTGCTTCAAAACAAGGATATTTCAATGACAAGCTGATATCTCGGTAAGAATGCGTTCGTTCTGACTCAAACTTTGGAAGATTTCTAGTGACTATAACACCTATGTTTGGACGAAATTTCAGCTCAAAATTCGGTCATTCAGGTTCTCAGAGATCCTATGCTCATAGCCCAAAAATCGAGTAAAATGCTCATAAATCGACAATAGAAGACCGAAAAACCAAACTAAAACACACTTTTTCACTACTCACCAAGACCAATGGAATGGTAATAGTTTCAAGCGAAAAGTGCTCTGACAGTTGGAGACGTTCCCTCGTTAGATCTTCTAGATACTTAGACCTATTATCGCAGATTTATAGAAGCTTTTGCAGAAAGTTTCAAAGATATATATACAATTAGCATAAAGAAATAGTTGGTTTATGACTTTTTTTTTTTGAGAATTCTACTTATCAGTAGGCTAGTATGAGTAGAATAGAGTATCGTTTGAGTCCAAGAAATGACATATATGGAGTAACATTTAATAGTAGAAAAATAACTAGGAAATTTTTTGAATTTATTCGAGATTAGACTGCTGTTCTTGATAATACATCGTAAAGATTTTAGCCCGTTTATTCGAAGTTTGAATATAAAATCTGATGGATTATGAATAAATTTACCTTATCTGTAAGATCAACAGCATCAAATCATTGTTTAAATAAACCAATATTACTATCTGCTTCATCTTCTATACCATCAATAAATGTAAAAGTTGATCCATCATAATTATACACATTATTATTATTATTACAAGCCGCTTGTTTTTCCGCTAATAAAATACCTAATCGTGCTAAATTTGATTTATTTGTACTTATTGTTGTTGTTCCTAGTAGAGATACAGATGAATTATTAATTCCTATTGATTCGTTATTAACTTTACTTTCTGATAAATTATTTCGTTTACAAATTATATTTAAAGATGAATCTGTTAATGGTTGTATTGAATGTTCAGAATCTGATCATGAACATGATTGTTTTCGTGAAGAAAGATCAAGTATTGAAGTTGAATCATTTGTTACAACGAAAGAATCAATTGATCTTAAATACGATCTATGAGGAAATAAAATGAATTGTTCTGTTGATAAATCATCTTTAAATAACTAGAATAAAATCTAATAAATAAATTATTTATATATATGAAATAAACTTACATATTGTGCATGATTATTTAATTGCCAACATTGAGTTAATTTATCGATAAATTCATAAATGTGTTGTTGAACATGATAATAATATTCCAACATGACGATATCGACATGATAATCCAACACGCATATATACATTTGCTGATAACGGATTTAATAAAATTTTAACATGTTTTGATAATGTACAATTAGTTTGTTTTGTTGAACCTAAATATTTCAAGTCTTTCTTTTTTTTTGTTCCTTTTTGAAAAAATTTCTTTCTTTATACCAATTGTATTCATTATTTTTGGTGGTTTTAATGGTTTACTAATAATTGAAACATGTTCTTGTTATCCTTTTACATGTAAAAATGCATTACCATTACGAATAAGTTGATCTAAAACAAATATTGTTGGTTTTTTATCAAAACCTATTTAAATAAAAAGAAAATTATTTGATAAAAAAAATTTCTTTTTTTTTTTCTTTCAAGAACTTACATCGAACTTTTGGTTTTAAACATGAATAAGCAAAAATAGAACATAATTCAAGTGAATCAACATTAGATTTTTCTTCTAATAAAAGAAGGATAAAAAAAAAATGAATATTAACCTTCAGTAAATGTACATGGTTTTGAAACTATACGAAATGGACGATAATAAAAACGACGTATTGGACCAAATATACGTTGTTGTGCTTCAGGATTTACAAGACAACGTCGTGTATTAAAGAATTGATCGAATGCTTCGAAAATTTTTCCATACTAACAAAGATGAAAACAAAAAACAAACTAATATAGATTTATAAACAAATATCATCATACAATTCGAAGTTCACTAAAAAATTTTCCTTGTTCTTCCATAGTCCATTTTGTTTTATCTGATGATTTAGGTGCCATCTCTTTGATCTTTTTTTATTTTAGGTGCTGGTGGTAGAATTTGAACAGCTAAATAAAATCATAATAATAAAAATATTGTTATTATTAATAGTATTCTTTACTTGAACTACGTTCACATTTTGGTTGTTTTGTTATTTCTTTCGTAAGAGATGCAATAGAACCTTCAACAACATGTATTATTGATGATTGAGATTCGATTTTATTATCGTCTATTGTTTCATTCATGACATTTATTTTCTAGAAATATAATTGACAATTAGGGTATTCANCAAATAAGTTTTTCGAATTATATTTCTTTTTTTATCTATTCTCCATTACTCTTCTATCTTATTCTATTATTATTATACAATGTCTTTTGCAAAATCTCCAAAAAACAAGGATTAACTTGTACTTGACGGATTTTGTTACCGCCTTGGCAATAAATCTCAAAGCATCTGGCGTGTCTGTAGAAATAATTGTGCAGGTCGTGTGTGCTTTGATGATACAAAATACGTTTAAGTCACAGATCGTATTCATGCACCAAATACCGAAGAAACACTAGCCAATGAAATTTAAATCAAAGATTAGAAATAGTGCAACAACATTGCACGATTCACCTCCCAAAATTTATTCAAAAAAAATTATTTTCTTGTACTCTTTAATCTCCTGTTTAATGGGGGCTCAAGTGTCGGGAGCTCAACTGTCAGGGGCTCAACTGTCGGGAGGCTCAACTGTCGGGGGCTCAACTGTCGGGGCTCAACTGTCGGGTGCTCAACTGTCGTGTCACCTCAGATCACATACATTTAGTACAATCAAGTGACTTATTCATTCTTTAGTTTCTTTATTTATCTTTCTGGATTTACCAATCAAAGTATTATTTGTTAGTCATCTAGTTCCCATTACATGATTTGTTTAATTCGAGTTGGAATAGAAGGAAAGAGTAAAGAAATATAATACTTGACGAGAAAATTGATTATTATCATCATATTATCTCTTTGCTATGATGTATCGGCTTTAAGTGTCGCATATATGATTCTTTTGTTGATTCATCAAAATTTCAAATTAAACTAGGATTCTAAACCATTCTCTTTGTTTTAAATTCTTAGCTCACCTGATTCTCCTTGAATTTGAAACATACTATCTAGTTTTCACTTATAAAAACATCTTAGATTTCTTATACAAAATAAGTTTGATCCAGAGCTACGTGTTGTATTTCATTTTGCAAAGCAAGTTTTATTTTTCATACAGAAGATTATTTCACACTGCGACGACAGACTTTTTCGACCAAAAATCTAGATCAATCAATCGATCAAATGACTTGTTTATTCTTTACCATCTTTTCTTTGTCTTCAATATGTACAATCAAAATATATTAATTTCGTTTTCATTTATTTTATTTCAAGAAAAACGCTTAAAATTTATAAGAGGAAAGTAGGAACTATATTGGAACATTTTGCATTCATTATAATTATAAAGATGTAGATTGTTCAATTTAGCACAATTGGCTCGTGTTGGTTCTCGTTTAAAATTATGTATCACTCTTTCTAGAGGTGCATAGAAGACTTGAAGAAAAATATTTTTTGAGAAATATGTTTTTGCAGTATCGAGAAACTCTTCAACATAATCATCGTGCACATCATCAAGGTCTAATTCAGTGAGATGAGAATATTTAACAATCGTATATTCTTGATTGTTTTCATTCATTGATTTTTTAGATTGTTTGTGTTGTTGTGGTTTTGCACTTTTTAAAGATAATATTTTAAGAAATGGAAATGCTTGAGCAATTCGAATGAAAAATTCATGTTCAAAAGGACGTCCATCAGATAATGATATTTCACGAACACATTTAAATAATCCACCGGGAAAATTATTTGTTATATTTTTATAATGTTTCATTGTATAAGGAAGAGAATAAATATGGCATCGGCCCACTTTTTTGTCTCGAGAATAATGAACACAAGAAATAATTTGATTTTTCTTGAAACTTGTGAATGTATTTTGAATATCTTCATTTGAAGGTAATTCAATTCGACTGAAAAAACTCTTGAATGAATATTAAATGCGAAGTTGTTTAATCGTGGTAGATGATCAAGAATATCTTGCTTCAAATCATTTCCATCAATAAATCTTTCTTTGTTATGATAATCCATTACCACTAAATACAAAACAAGACCTTTTAAATTCGACATTCGATGCAGAAGTAGCACGATCAATTCATTATACCATCGGGTCTGTATATCACTGGTCAATGAGAAGCATTTCAGATTTGGAAGTTTTTCCTATAAAAGTCACACAATATTAGATATATATTAGAACAAAACATCTTATCGATTTTATTAATAATTTGAAATTTTTTTTCAAAATGAATATACCTACCTTTGTATAGATTGTTGACCAATGAGGAGCAATGATATCAACATTAACATAAAATTTTTCAAGTTGATGGAAACGACCATCAAGTAAATAAAGACAATGATCAATATATTTGACTTTTTTCTGCAATTCTTTTAAAATTGAAGATGAAAAAGTTTGAGTCATTTGCCAATCAAATGATATAGGTGCAGTTTTCATATGAAATGATGAATCAAAATTTAAACAACGTAAATTGGTGAAAATAATTAAAATACGTGAAAAGATATTTATTTTTATATCTTCTTTAAAACTTTGGTTTTTATCTATTTTGATAGCAAGTGTTGATATTTGATTTTTAAAAATGTAAGATAATGATGATTCATCTAAACATATATAAAATATCTGAGAACTAAACTCATTAATGTTCGTATTAATTAAACTATAGTAATCATGCAATCAGTCGTTTATACTTCTTTTTAGCCAACTCTGTATCAAGCAGATTTATCTGCGATTCGATTCCTTCCCGTTTCCGTTCGTCTTCATTGTTTCTCACTTCAGTCTCTCTCCAGTTCGGTTCATCTCGATCCTTATTTACCGAATTAAAACAAAATAAGTCTTCATTTATTTTCATGAAAAACTATTAACATATTTATCTCAGTAGTCATTCATTAAAATACAATTCAAATAATGGTCCAACGTGATGCTTATAGCATCTAATCTGCTTCATTATTCTGAGTTGATTCACAGATTTTTAGATTCATTGAAGTGGTACGGGGTCAACGCTTAATTCAACATTATGAAGTTAAACAATCTTGAGTTGATAGCTCAAGAGAAAAAACATGAGATAAGATATTGATGGGGGTGGGTGTAGATGGGGTGTGGGTGTGGGTGTGGCGTGGGTGGGTGTTGATCTTTTCTATCCAAACACCCACACTCACACCCTACAACCACACCCTTATTAATTGAAACTTTTTGAAGAAAGGCATCAGACACTTGAAAAAGCGAAAGGCATTAAAAATAAAAACGTCCATTCTTTATTGTACATGACTTCTGTTCTAACTGCACTTCTCTCTAAATATACGTTCTACGTACGACTCCTCGAAACTAAAGAAATGCATCAGTATACAGTCATTTCGGCAAATAATAACCTATCTCATATCCTTAAAGTAATCTCTATAAAATTTCTATAACTACGTTACCTTTCAACTAAATCTGCTGTTTTTTTAAATTAATGATCAATACGCATTCTAAGTTTTAGTTTATTAGAAATAAGTGGTCCGTTTTTTTTTATAAATCAAGGCAATTATATACAGCAAAGATTCAAAAATATTTTACAGTTTGAAGCAACACGATCAAAAATATGTCTCTATTATATACGAGAAAGAAGATTGCATGATAAACTTATTATCATCTAATTCAATTCATCAATCTTCGTTTTTTTTCATAGTTTTGGTATCGATGGAGTCCTGAACGTAATCTTATCATGCAGCGAAAAGTCAATCCATTCATTTGGTACATGATATTATATTTTGTAGTTGTGAATTTCAGTGACTGATGAACATATATAGTGCTTGTATAAAGTACACTTTATGTCGCATAAGACGAAACCGCGTAAAATCAAATAGAAATACAAAGTGGGTGCTCTCAGAACGAAAAAAACGACCCAATCATCTGTATTCTAATTCAATCGATGATCAAGTGCAGCAAAATCATACTTTTTTTGTCAATGTCAGCAGAATCGTGATTCAAGGTAAGTTGCTGTTTGTAATTTAGTGAAGCTTTCTTTTAAGTGACGAAATATGGAAGAGAAATACGACCCTTTTCTTCCAAATAACATAGTTGTAACTGTTCAGTTGTAGAACATAGTAGGTCACATTGAGGGAGACTTCTATGCAATCAATCTCGTCTGAAATGTTTCCATAGATTTTCTAGAATTTAAAAAAAAAACTCGTTGAACACTTTTCTCGTTCAACCAAGTAAGCATATAAAACTAAGCGTGATAATCACAATTGTCAATATGAAACTTGAAAAATTCTTTCAAAGCTTAGTGATATCGTGCTAAGAGAATCGGCTTTTCGATGTAGAGCGTGCACTTTACATTAAGAAGCTACTCGAATGTACTAATCGCTTGGTGAACTGTAGAAATTTATCTACTGATACAATAGAGAGGCATGTTCGTTCAGGTTTCATGTATGAATGCAGCAATGATACGGCAAATGTCAAAACAAAACAGTGTTTTGAGAGTCTCAATAAGCCTGTAGCCAGAAGTTTATTTGATTGAAAGTTTGTCAAAACAAAAAGCCATTGACGCAATATTAGATTTCCTTGCAAAAACAAGCGAAGAAAACAATGGTATAAAAGATCTCCTCTAAAAAGTTAGTTTTTAGCGTGATTTTAATGGTCTTTTATTTGTTTTAATATTTATGAGTGTATTAATATCCAGGTTAGGTAAGAACAATAATTTGCTTCCACTATTTTAGCGATGTGACATTTTCGAGTTAGAAAAATCACGAGAAACAGCTAACATGAAAGAATAGTTTATTGAAAAATGCCTTTCTCTATTGAAAATGCCTCATGAAGCCACACCAATGCTCTTTTGCATTATGCTCGCAATAAATTCTTATGATTTCTATACTAAGATAAACATTTCCACGGCCATGATACCCAATTAGTACAAGATACATTCACACGGGTCACATATGGAGGATGTGGTTGTACTGCTATCCCACATTAATACCCACACCCTTTTTGAAACGTTCACACACTTTATCTCAGTGGAAATTAGTGTATTAGGGTATTTTTGTGCATTCATACCTAATGTCAATTAGGCTACAGTTTATGAAATGAACTGACTAAATTTATGATTTAGAAGTACACAATTACAAAGGCAGCATCGATAGAAGAAATGAAACTTCCCATCAAAAAATTTTACAAAGAGAAAGTTTAATATTTTGTGCTTGATTATACTGTCTGATTACGTTTAATTCAAAAACTGGGGGCATCTCTATTCGTTAAACAAGGTATACGATTTCGTGCAGAATCTCAAACATTATTTTTTTTTCTTTTGTTAAAAGTATTACATGAGCTGTCAGATTTTCTCTGATTTAAGTATAAATAATAAATTCATGAATAAGTATTTGAGATTCTAAACGTGTATGTTATACTCGTGATCATAAAATCTTAGCGTCAATCACGATGACGAACATGAGGAGACCTGGTTTTGATTTATGATCATGCAAAATTCGTTGGAATGTAAGGCCCTATAAGATTCTTGCAACATTTTTTCTCATTTGAAGCGTTTACACGACAAGAGTGAGATTCTTATTTTTTATCTTGAGAATCGTTTATTCTCATGAATGAGTATTTTAAACAACGAATCAGTGCTTAAATATTGTGGTGTTAAATATAGTTTAAACGAGAAAAGAGCGTCCGTGCTACTAACTGCGAACACGCTTATTAAAAACTTCGTTTTGCTTAGTAAAAAAATCACATATAAATGTATGACAAATAAAATGACTTCACACCATAAGTGAAAACATATTCGATAGATATTTCAACTAGTCACTGATCAACACTAAGTTCCATTGCAACATTATCAGCAACAAACAAACGTATACTTAGCGAAATTGATCGGATTTTAGAAGCAGAAAGATACCAAGTGAGCCTTGAATTACGTGCTTTTCGTGGAATATGAGATAATGACTTCTTTTTATTGCTGTTTATGAAAGAAACTAAACAGTATACTGTACCATTACTGTGAAAATATCTACTGAACGTCAATTACCTTCGATCCAGATTCGAGTAAGAAAAATTGTACCCACACTTACGTCCACATCCACACATATCCTCACAAAATCGGTCGATCGAAAGAATTTCAGTTTCTACGTAACTTAACTACCTCAACAAGATATTTTAAGATAACCAGGGTGGGAACCCACTTGAATGAGTTAGTTTTGTATTTTAACTCTATAGCGGTTGCGCTGATAACATTTGTCGTCTCCATCGTAGATGTTACCGAATATTTACATTTCGGCACACTCAAAATGAAAAGATAAGATAGCAATCTTTCGACCAACTTTTTATTTCATTTCGTACTTTTGATGGATAAACAACCAACAAGTGAATTCTATCGGGCATGTCGCAATGGTGACGTAGATGTTGTGAAGAAGCTTTTGCTACAGTTAACATCGGCTGCTATCAATCGTGTCGAACCCAACGGAAGCACAGCTCTTCATGCTGCTGCATATCATGGCCATGCAAACATCGTTCGATTATTACTGGATCGAGGCGCCAGTAGTACGATCCGCAACAAGTATGACAAGACGGCAAAAGAAGAAGCGTCTATCCTCGCAGTTCAAGCACTTTTCGAGGCATCGAGTCAAGTGTACGTTGATAGAAAGGTCGAAGAGATGTCACAGAATGATCTCTTTCGATTGCATCGAAACACAGAAGGCATAAACAAATCAGACCTGGCTACCCGCATTTTGAAGATTCGAATAAATAAGTATCAAGCTAACAAATATCCCTCATGGGCAAAGTCAAATATTGAACATCTGAAAAACGAACACCAAAAACTATGTAAACAAACAAAAGATGATTTTGAGTTACTTCTCTCGGAGGACTGTTTCAACGGCTTTCGTGAGAAAACGGATTTTTCCTACATGATAAAATTGTATACCCTTCAGGGTTCTCTGTATCACATGATGAATGGTGATGAAGCATTTCTTGTCGATGTCTACAAATATTTATTACGGGAGGATATCCAATTTGGATTTAATGCATACAGTTATTTTGCTTGTGTAATGTTCCCAAATGATTTCGAGCTTTACCGATGGGTTCTTACTCATGGTCAGTGTCTACTCGAAATGACATTACAAATATTGGGAACTACTGAACGAGCCAGCGCAATTATTTCCTTGGGAACGAAAGTTGATCAGAATCATCGCAGTGTTCTACTCGAAATGGATTTTACTAGCCAACCATGTTTAACTGCATTTAACAAAGAAATACATCACCATACGGCTTTGTATACTGATGTTACTATTTTGCCAGGCACCTTCTTTGAAGTAACTCAAATTCAAGAAAACAAGGATGGTCTGACAACTGTCTCACTCAAGAATGTATGTGCCAACAAAGACATTTTGTCGTCAGCAAATTAATATACACCTAAAGTGCTACCCAGATTAATTTGAACAATAAAAACTTTGCGAATACAAAGA